TGCGTGTTCTCCCCATGTTGGCGTGGGTTTCCTCCGTGTGCTCTGGTTTCCCCCTTAGTCCTAACACAATAGATGAGCTAAATTAGCTGTAGTGTATGTGTGTGTGTGTGAATGAGTGTGTATGGGTGTTTCCAATACTGGGTTGCAGCTGAGAGGGCATCCACTGTGTAAAACATCTGAAATAGAGACTAAGCGGAAGGAAAATGAATGATTGTAATGGAAAAGGGCTCTGTTTTGAGGAATAAAAGTAAACTTAGGGCAGTTACTTGCATGTGGTATACTGTATATGAAATCAACTAAAGCAACACTGCAGGAGTCAACTTTTAATTAAAGGACATTAGCTGCCCTCGGAAATGCTGATTCTGTGCTATGAAACCAGACTGAAATTTATCAAAACTTAATTTTTCATTAAAATAGGATATAACCGAGTTTATTTTAGAAGAGGTTGAACAACTGCATGCTGAAGCCTCAAAGGAACACAAGCATTAGTCAGACTGCAATTTATAATAGAGAAAATGCTTTGTCCAGTCTTATATCCGTAAACTGTGCACTGTAAAAATATCTGTTAATGAACAGCTTCCATATAAGTGTTTTCTGTTTATTTGCGGTTGTGAATTGCATTATGGGATGCTAATCTCTGTTCTGTCCACTTTTGATGTTGAAAATTTGGGTGTACTCGCACTAGGCTGTCTGAACTGTACTCAGGCATGTTTGACACCTATTTTCCGGTTTGTTTGACAAGTGTGAGTGCTCCGGCCCAGTTAAGTTGGCCAGCCCTTGCCCGGTTGGAAGAGGTGAGTTATATCGTGGTTTGGTTGGGCTTTGTGAGTGCAAAGTGCACCTGATCCCAGAACTGAAGATGCGACGTCACTTTTAAGGGACTGTTTCATATGCATGTATTAATCATTCTTACTTTTCAATGAACGTGAGCTGTCATGGTTTATTAAAGCTGCAAACCCCTCACTGCACGACAGCTGCACCTTCAGCAAACCTCCGTTATGAAAAAAGTCAAAAGTTGTGGTTCTGCTCAGGAAGACTGTGTGTCACTGCATCCCAAACAACTTAAAATAACACAAAACAGTATAACAAATGTAATCTCCACTGTACGGAGGCTGGAGTGCTTCTCTTCTGTTAACCTGAACAGTCATATCGGTGACGTAAGTGTGCTCAGGTTCTGAAGGTTGCCAGCATAGACTCGTTCTGAAAGTGTAGCCCTGTATACATTTCTGGAGAGCGCAAAATATGTAGCCAAAGCTACTTATGACTGCATTTCATCTTTAAGATAAACGCTACGGGGATGTTATGATGCTGTTCATTTTCTCGCTTACCAGTTGACCACTTATGGTACGTCAGCGGATTTGAGATGCAGAGTTGAGTTGACTGCGACAACAGGGTTCGAGTCCAGTGCAGAAGGGTTCAAGAACGTTGGTAAAACAAAAACAGAAGCTAAAAAAATAAATAAAAAACAAGTAAATAACAGGGTGAGAATGTGGACAAATCTGAAAACATGGTAAAAATCAGGGGGCTTTTCCTTTTCTTGCTTTTGAAAATACTGTCGATTGAGTTTAGGGATGGCAGGGAGCGCTGGTCAATCGCTGCTTTTGAAAACACTATTGGTTGGGTTTAGGGAAGAGGGTGGGTAGGGGAATCGGCCAATCAGTTGGCTGCGGCCTCTGGTAAATTTACATGAGAACAGCAGGCCTAATTGGCACTCTTGTGAGAAATTTGAGATGTAAAGAAGCGTATGCAGCAGCCTCTGGTGGATTTACGAAAAACACAAACTACAAAAAAACACTCCTGGGACGTAGCTCCAGAAATGTATACAGGGGTGTGTAATCAGAATGAGTCTGGGTTGAAAATTGCAGTGTGAGTGTGAGCCGAGGGGGAGAGAGGAGTGAAGGCAAGTGCTCCCGGGCATGGTTCAAGACAATCCTGCCTAGTGGGAGTACACCCTTCAACTCTACAGTAGACATGGGCCGGGATAAGATTCTGAAAGTATGATAACCTTGGATAAAAATATTAAGGGATCACGGTATTGTACTGCTCTAAAATAAATTCTTTTTAAATGTCTGGGTAAAAAATACAACAATATTTTTTCCTCTTTGAACACAAAATATTTTATCAATATTTTATCAACATAAAATATTTTTATCATTGTCTTCATTAGTTTCTAAAACACAGATTTCTTTACATTTTAAAATAGCATCTTTTAATATAGTATCTTTTCTGCTGGACATACTACTGTCCTAAAAAAACAAACAAAAAAAACTAAATAAATAAATCTTACACATACCTTGGGAACGATATAGCAGAAAATGTTGGCAGTTTTAAAACCTCGACTTTTCCAAAACGTGGTATACCTTGAAAACGTTTATCATCCCATGCCTACTCTACAGTCTAATAAAGTGAATTCTAATGACATCTTAGCAGTTTGAAATTATATAATATAATAAATAATATCTAGAGAAATAAGCCTGTAAAATACCAGAAAATGTGCTGCAGTTTATTACAAGGTTTTTGTATTGTAATATACCATTCAACTAATAACAAAGATATAACCATATAACAAAGAGTGTGTATTGATATCAATAATGCCATGAAGATCCTTGAGCCTCCCTTCTTTTGCACAAAGCATTTCTATAGCAGTTTTAGATTATTCAAATGGTCCTATATAAAAGTATATAATCTTTTTTTGTTAGAACTGTTGACTGAATGTTCTGTACTACTTTTCTATAAAAGCTTTATTACATTATGGGATCCTTATTTTAGGAGATTTTTATGAAGATTAATGCACAACGTAGCAGCGATGTCATTGACTAAATTGAGGGAATCGGCTCATTTCTTTTGCTCTGAAATGAAAACACTGGAATGTTTCAGTCAGATGGCCTTCAGTCTGTCTGAACAGTCTGTCTTTAAGCTGAAAACCTTCAGCGTTTTTAAATGCTGAATGTACAGTAGGGAAATAAGTATTGAACACGTCAGCATTTTTCTCAGAAAACATCTTTCTAAAGGGATCGTTGACTTGAAATGTTATGTTGGTAACAACCAAAGAAATCCATATACGCAAAGAAAATAAATCTAATTAGTTTAGAAATGAAGTTATGTGTATTGAAATGAAAAGACGCAGGGAAAAAGTGTTGAACACATGAAGAAAGGGAGGTGTAGGTGGGCAGTGAGAGCCCAGACAGCAGCTGGAATCTCTCAGTAGTTCTTTAGTAAGCCTCTTCCTCAGTGTGAATGAATATCAACTGCTTCAGTCCAACATCTACATCAGCAGAAGGATGAAGATCAAACCATTTCAGCAAGACAATGATCCAGACACAGCCAAGGATGCTTTCAGAGAAAGAAAATCAAGCTGTAGAATGGCCCAGCCCATCACCTGATCCGAATCCAATAAAGAATACAGAATAAAGCTCAGATTTGATAGACGAGACCCACAGAAGCATCAAGATTTGGACACTCTGTTGAAGTCTGTGAGAAACTCACACCTGAGCAATGCATGAGGCTTCATTCTCCATATGAGAAGCGTCTTTAAATTGACAGCACCAAGCAAGCCTTTAATGTATAGTGTTGAATACATTTCAGTAGGTTAGCTCTTTCTACTACACAGAACTCATTGTCAGATTGTTTTGTTTCATTTTTATGTTTGTATTGTTTGGGTTTTACCAAAATCTGGTTTATTTCCATGTCTTTTAGAAGTCTTACTCCCAGGAACAAAACATGACAATGTGTTCAATACTTATTTTCCTCACTGTATGTGTGTAATAGTGTCTATGTGGAAAGCAGGCTCAGTGTGACGCTCTGGCCTGACCTCAGAGCTCCAGCCAAATGATCAGACTCACTAGAAAAAAATAGCACAGAGATTCACTCTGTTTACAGGCACGCTTACTGGAGAGCCGAGCCATGAATGCTATTATATTCAAAGCATGCTGAGACGAGGACGGAAAATAATCAGTTTGATTAGCCACTGAAACAGCTTGATTCATTCGTCATTACACTCTGAGTCATTAGAGAAGCGCTTCTGTGAGGCATCAAGCTGGTTTCAGAGAGGTACATGTTCACAGGAGGAATGCTGAGAAATAAACACACACAAATGACTGGATAGAGCTGTCATATTAGTGTGGACAGCAATAAAGAATGAATGAGAAATTTTGCCTTTGGAATTGATCTGGAGTTCGTTTTTAATAGTTAAAATAGTTTTTATTTGTGCCTCAGACAACAATTATTTTATTTTAATTAACAGATGTAGTTGTTTTTTTAATGCATCAACTAAAAAATTACTAATAGTTCCAATGGTATAAATTTTTTACAAGATACTCAAATGGCTCGTTTCCACTGACTGGTACTGTACGGTACGGTTCGGGTTGGTAAGGGTCACCTTTATCAGGCTTGCGTTTCCACTATAAAGCAACCTGGGCTCATTGTGGAAATGTAGCCCTGTGGACGTTTCTGCGGACCGCGATTTACATCCCCGGAGGTACGTATTCGAGCGGTTTTTGTTTCGAGAGGCCACTGTGCATGCTTTTTCGCGTCTCGGACGCCTCTCGGGAGCGCGCGCCGTTCGCGCCCGCGCCGTTCTCGCGCGAAAAGCCGCCGGATCGGCCGACTCGGTCGCCCTCCTCTTCCTCCTCCTCCTTCCCTAAACCCGAGCCACGGTTTGCAAAAGCCGTCCAGAAAAAAAAAAAAAAAAGCAAAAGCCCTCGTCTTCGATTTCGACCGCGTTTTCGGATCCCGCCGCGTTCTCGCCCTTTTTTTTAGGATTCCGTTTTTCGTCTTACCTGATTTCCGATCCCGGTCGTCCTCCCCGCGGCCGGCTCCTCCTCCACCTCAGGGGCCTCCGCTCCGTCGACGCAACGCTGTGAGCTAAGTGGACAAACTGGTTGCATCGGGAAAGCCCTCCACTCGGAGGCGAGCCGCCGTTTTCTATGAACAGGAGTTGATTATAACTGCAGATCAATGACAGTGCAAAATAGGCTACTGTAACGTCTGTGATTAAATAAAATAAATAAATGAATATATATGAACACGTACAGACCCTTACAGTCTCCGATATATTATTAATTACAGAAAAACTACAAACATCATACATTTAGTACTTATTTGAGTTCAAAAACACACGCAATATAGCCAACAGTCAGCGCAAACCTGTCATCTGGGTGTGTAATCTTCAGCAGCACATGCAAACTCTGTTAGAGAGTCGTTCTGTCATTCCCAGTTCATAATAGTCCAAAAGGCAAAGATAATCATGGCAGTTTGTTCATGATTCAGGTTGTTAAACACTTTTGCTCCTGTGTTTTGCCGGGTTTCTCCTTTATTACCGCGCTTTACTTTCACGCTTGTCCTTTTCTTTTTGAATGGATCAGATGACGGAGACACTTCTACAATTACGTAACGTTGCACGGTATTATCATCAGCTCAAGAAGTTTGTTATATCAAATATACAGAAAGTTTCAGTCGCATTATTCTCGCTCGAGGAAATCTCTACAATACAGCTGTACGGGTCGCTTACATATATGAAAATACTTCTCACAAAACAGACGCTTTACTCACATAAATACTTGTGTATAAATGTTTATTACTAACTTTTCTATGAACAGGAGTTCATTATAACTGCAGATCAATGATTCAGTGCGAAATAGCCTACTGTAACGTCTGCAGTTATGTTAAATAAATAAATTAACATGTATGAACACGTACAGACCCTTACAGTCTTCGATATGTTACCAACTACAGAAAAACTACACACAGCAGACATTTCATCCTTAATTAGGTTCAAAACAACACAAAGTCTAGCCTACAGTCTTCAGCAGCACATGCAGCCTCTGTTAGAGAGTGATTCCATCATTCCCAGTTCATATTAGTCCAAAAGGGGAAGATAAAAATTAAAACAATGCAGTTTGTTCACGCTTGCTGAAGAAATAACGTGCTCCTTTTTTCCCGCGCTCCACTCTCACGTTTATCCTTTTCTGAATGTGTCATTCTCGCATTTGTCAGCTTCTCACTGGATCGGGTTTCCAAAGCTTGTCAATAATCAAGCGCACGTGATTATCATCAGCTCAAGAAGTTTGTTATTTATACAGATATAGGCGAGCGCAAGCAAGAAAGCGAAAGCGCTCGCTCCTTAGACTGGCTCGTAAAAAACTACAAGGCATAGGGAAGATTCTGCTCTACTCCATGCTTTGTGGCCGTTCATCAAGACGACGGCAAGGTTTGTTTGAGCCCGGATCGACCATTATATGTATATATAATTCCGATGTAATCGCTCGCTGTGTATTTCAAACATGGCGGGTCATTTGTTTTCATTCTGGCTTGTTGCGTAAGCGAATGATGGATCTCTGTAAACCAATAGCGTTCAGCTGCGCGTCTAGCTCCGCCTTTTGGTACAGTTTCTTGTGTTTGGGACCCTTTTGAAAGGGTGCCGAAAAAGTGGCACAGTACGGTTTGATTCGGTACGCTTTTTGACAGTGGAAACAGCCATAAAAGCGTACCAAATCGAACCGTACCGTACCGTACCACTCAGTGGAAATGGCCAAAAGAAAACATTGCTACCTCTTAAAATAAACTGCTGGGTTTGTATAACTTCGGGACGAACATTGTTCATGAAGTAGAGATAATTTTATTTTTGTTTTAATTGAGTTTTAATTAGTGGTTTGATTAAAGCCTTAATTGTACATTGTAATAAAGTGTGTAAAATAAAATCACATAAAGAAGATTAAATAATGAGTACTAAATGATCATATTTGAGTGGACTGTCCCTTTAAGAGCCAAAATGCATCTTTTTCTGGAAACATAAGCTCGGCATTTAATTGCAGGATTTGAGTAAGCATAAGCACAGCTGATTAATTTCTCACTGTGTGTGTGTGTGTGTGTGTGTGTGTGTGTGTGTGTGTGTGTGTGTGCGCGCGTGTGTGTGTGTGTGTGTGTGTGCATGCGTGTGTGTGTGTGCGCGTGTGTGTGCTCACAGAGAAGCTGACGTTCCGCGAGGTCAAGACGCCGCAGGAGTTTCGTCAGGGTGACGATGCTGAAGTGGTGTGTGACGTCATCAGCTCTCCTGTCCCGGCCGTATCCTGGTTCTACAAGAACAGGGAAATCACATCTGAGCCCAACAGTAAGCACAGACACACTGATGCATTCATATGATGATCAGCTTCTGATTCAACAGATGACATGCTAAAACCAGCTTGACCTGCCTAGCCAGGCTGGGAGCCCAGACAAAATGTCCAGCCTAAACCTTGATGGTCAAGCTGATTTTAGATGGTTTTAGATGGTCACTTTCCAACCTGGAAGTGGCCAAAACCCCTCTAAAAGCAGGCTAGTTAACCAGCTAAAACCAGCTAACCATCCTAGGCTGGTTAAAGCTGGATTTTTCAGCAGGGCTGGCCAAACTCTCTCTCAGCCCTTACCCATCATAGCCTCCTAATCATCCCCATCCTCTGAATTGGCTCTATCACCGTCTCTCCACTCCACCTATATCTGGTGTGTGGTGAAGCACTGGCGCTGTTGACCTGAGGCTGCCATTGCATCATCCAAGTGGAGCTGCACACTGGTGGTGGTGTACAGGGACCCCTCCTCATGATTGTGAAGGGCTTCGGGTGTATGGCCATACACAATAAATGCACTATATAAAAACACATCACATTATATTACAAAACTTGGTATTTTTTAGTAATGTTAACTCAATTATACCTTAATATCTTTAGTAATGACAACATCAGGGTTTAGAGTGTAGGATTGTCTAATACTCAAGGAAGTTTGCTGCTGTACTCTGGCTACAGCCGGCACAATGATATTACACAACACACTGAAAACAGTATAATTCATGCAAGTGGCTATAAAGCGCATACACAGCTGAGCGTTTTAATTCTGTGTAATGCGAAGGCTCCTTCAGTGCTGAGGGAATTAAAACTTCTGCCTTTTTTTTAACGTCTCAAACCCTTAATTGTAATTCAAAGGCAGAACTTTGACAAGCTATCTGCACCTTCCAGCCTGGGAGATTAAAAGATGGAGATTTGATTATTTTTATTGTAATTAGGCAGCCGGTTATAAATATCTCTCCTGGATGAGAAGAGAAGAGGTGTGTGTTTATCAGCGAGGGAAGACAAAAAGAGAAAGGAAGCCTGTAATCCTGAAGGTGTTTCATTTAGCGAATGTCCTTGAAAGTGAAGCAGAAGTAGTTTTGAGGATTGATGATAATATTTTCCTATTATTGCGCTCTGATGAAAAAGGAGTCTGTTGATTAAATCCTCTGCTTTTTTTTCCCTTTCGCTGCTCTGAGGACTGTATTTCTATCAAAGGCTTTAAACGCAACAGAATGAGTTTAACTTCTCTCAGAAACCCTCTGCCGCGTGGTTTTAGTTTAGTGATCA